AAATTCTCATATTTTTTTTTTGCTTTTTCTCGAGGGAACACCCATTCGTTTAAAGACGAATATAAAACCCTGAAAATAAATAAATAAATAAATTAATAAATTAATTAATTAATTAATTAATTAATTAATTAAAATAAATAAATAATGCAATAAATAATGTACTGGTAAATCAACAGGCGGAAATTAAAAAGATAGAAATACACCGCAAAAAGAAATAAATAAATAAATAAATAAATTATTTAAATAATAATATTAAATAAATAATAAATAAATTCATTTATAATATATTAATTAATAAATAAATATATCGTTAATAATAAAAGAAAAAAAGCAGAAAACAAATAAATTAATTAATTAATTAAAAATAAATTATAAATATGTAAATTAATAAAAAGATATATAATTATAAATAAGTGTACGTAAAGAAATTAATTAATAAAAAATAAATTAAATAATAATACATTCGTAGATTAATAAATATATAATTAAAAATAATAAATATATACATATAAATTAATAAATAAATATATCTAGACAGATATAAAAAATAATAAATAAATAGGCTGAAGTAAGAGCTAATAAATAAACATAAATAAATAAAAGAATTAAAACAACTACAGCTAAAATAAATAAATGCAAACGTAAACAAAATATAATAAATATATTATACAAAATATATTAATGCGCATGCAAACAAATGAATAAACCAGCGAGGAGACAAAGCAAATTATATAATATATAGTATATATTATATAATATATATTATGTATTATATATCAGATATCATAGATTATATATTATATATTATATATTGTATATTATCTATTATATTATATATATTACATATATTATACTATTATATATTATATATTATACATATTACATATTATATATATGCGCTTTGGGTTTATATATTAAGTGTTAAGGTTTAGGGTTTAGGGTTTAGGGTTTAGGGTTTAGGGTTTAGGGTTTGCTTACTTGTTGTCGCAGTCAATTCCCCAATCTCTGACTCCTCTTCTTTGTGCTGTCAGTCGCAGTTTTGCGTTTATTGGATTATCAGAAGTTATCGGCACCTGCATGCAAACCCTAAACCCTAAACCCTAAACCCTAAACCCTAAACCCTAAACCCTAAACCCTAAACCCTTAGGAATCGGCAGTTTTTGCCTGGGAGAAAACTGAAGGCGGCAGTCGCAGCAGCAGCAACAAACACTCGGAGCAGCAGCAGCAAAACCCACATTTGCAGCAGCAGCAGCACCATTTGAACAGCAAAAGCAGCAGCAGTATTAACAGCAAAAGCAGCAGCAATATTAAGATATGAAGAGCAGCAGCAATAGCAGCAAGAGAAGCAGCAGCAGCACAATCAGCAGCAGCACTATCAATAGCACAATCAGCAGCAGCACAATCAGCAGCACTATCAGCAGCAGCACAACCAGCACCAGCAGCAGCACCAGCAGCACCACTACCACCACCAGCAGCAGCAGAAGCACCAGCAGCAGCAGCAGCAGCAGCAGCAGCAGCAGCAGCAGCATCAGCAGCAGCAGCAGGAGCAGCAGCAAATGACAATGCTTTAATGACCTGAGGGATCCTCGCAGTAAGAACAGCGAGAGAAAGGGGTCTTTGAGGCGGCGTACAGCAGAAAAACGCTAACTCAAACAAAAACTGAAAACAGCCGGGGTAGAAATGTCCTCGTGCATATTGAGTATCAACCCCTATCAAATAAATAAATAAATATAAATAAATAAATATATATAAATAAATAAATATAAATATAAATATAAATATTTATATTAATTAATTCATAGGTAGTTTGCAAGGCTTTTATTAATTCGTAGCTAAACTTTGTTTTTATTTATTACTAAATTTACTTTTTTAGTTGTGTTGATTAAGAGCAATGTTAAATTAGGATAAAGAAATAAAGATATTAATAAAGATATAAATAAACATATAAATAAACATATAAATACACATAAATAAACATATTAATAAAGATATTAATAAAGATATTAATAAAGATATTAATAAAGATATTGATAAAGATATTAATAAAGATATTAATAAAGAATATACAAATAAAGATATAAAAAAATATAAATAAACATATATATGGGTGGATAAAGAGAGATAAAGAAACAGCATTAGATATAATAGAAGACAGAAAATAAATAATAAGGATTCAAAGAGTTTATATAAAACAAAGACAAAGAGAGACAGACAAAAGGAGACAGTTAAATAATACAAAGTCAAGACAGCAACCTCAAGGCTAGATGCAACCCCACCCTTTAGGGTTTAGGGTTTAGGGTTTAGGGTTTAGGGTTTAGGGTTTACCTCCTAAATTAACAGAAAGAAATGTTACGCCTCCACTCGAACGAAGGGTGTCATCGACATCTACGAGGACCTGCAAATAAATATAAATAAATATAAATAAATATAAATAAATAAGTATAAATAAATATAAATAAATATAAATAAATATAAATAAATATAAATAAATATAAATAAA